TTTTCCTAGCCTGGTAATTTTGATAGGATGCTAGACATTGTGCTCTTACCTTTTTTGGGGGAATAGGATTTTTTTTTATTCTTTTATATATTATTGACTTACGTTCTGGTTTGTAATGAAGTTACTTGTAGACAATTTTTCACTTCAGGAGATTGCTTTTAACTCTATTAGGCAATCCAGGACATTCAGGCAATCCAGTCTCTTTCATTAAAAGCTAAATTAAACTGCTACTAAGGCATCTAATAATGTCATGTGCATTACAATGTGTTTGCACTCTGGGTGGCAGCCACATGGTTTATTCTCAGCCTCCTTTGAGGTCCAAGAATTGTACAACAAGCTCCTGTCAATGTTCTATCTCACTCTCACGGGGATTCCTCATATTAATTTTTGCAAATCAAAACTAAGGAGAACATTATGGGCAACCTCTGGTATGTCTCCAGAATCCTTCCTCTCTTCAGTTCTCTCCTGTCTGTAATTTTCTCCTCTTTGATTTTCTTCTGTGTTTATTGTAGACACTTGCAGGTGTTCCTGTCACCTATTTCTCCTCAACTCAGAAGAATGCCTATTCATTTTAAACCCCACCTTCCTGCACTACAGTTTGTAAATTCCTTTCAGGAAATAAGATGGGACAATCACAGGACTTATTTTGTTTATTTTCTTTCTCTCAAGTCCTACATTTCCCATTGCATGATAGCTTAAAATTTTAGTATCATTTATTTTGTTCTTTTTCTGAATTTTTAAAGTAGGAGGATGTATATCTAGTTTCTGATATAATCATGGACAGATGCCAAAGTAAAAGTCTTTGGAAGTCCGTACAATATCCTCAAATCCATGCATTTCTTGCTCTTTTTGTTTCTCTGACCTCAGTTCTGCCATTCATACTCAACACCAACCACCCTGTCCTTTTGCTTTCTGTTAGCCTGCAAGCACATGCCCATCACATGGCTTGTACTGGAATGTTCTTCTCCCGGCCTGTACAGTTTGCTTCTTTATTTCATTCACGTTTTTATTCTTCTGGTCAGGAAGACCTTTCCTGGCCACAAAATCCAATACTGTGAATCCATTCTTATCAAAACTTCCCACTCCTTTTCTCCAATACATTTTTTCCTTGGTATACATCACTCTGAAACCAATCATATTACTTAATTATTATGTGTGGTTTGTCTTCTTTGCATTTAGAATACACCTTCCATGAATGCTGAGATTTCTGTTTTTTTCATATATCTATTCCAAGTATCTGAATTAATTCCTGGCATATATTAGGAATTCAATAGTTACTTGCTAAGTAAACTACTGTTTATATCAACAGGTATCTACATATTTGTCTTTATGAAATACAGAAGTAATTGCATACAAAGGAATTGTGTATGAAATTTGCTATGTATTTTCAATACTATGCCCAAATTTCAACCTGAAATTAGGAATACATAGGAATTCATATGTACCTCCAGGATATATGAGGGTGGGGCATTCTTGCTCACAGGTAAAATGCTGAGTTATAAAACCATGAAGTTCATGGTGTTCTCAGTAAACAGTGTGAATGGCACTAAAATGTAGCAAGAAATGAGGTCCTAAATATCTGCTGTGCAAATTTCAGATGGCCTTGAACACTGTGTTTAAGATCTTTAATATTACCTTAGAGATAAGTAGAAGCCAGAGTTACCTGATAGATGTATTATTTTAAAATATTTTGTGAGAATATTGTGGAAAATACATTTTGGAAGTGGCAGATGAAAGTCTGGAAGACCAGCTATGAAGCTAGGTCCAATGACCCATTCAGGAGGTGAGTACGTCTGGAGCAGAGTTGTGGGCTGAGGAGGCTGAGGAGAGGAAGCCACAGAGGAAGTCTGTCAAGAAGCATGACTGATGGGCAGCACAGAATGAAGTAATGGAGTCCATAAGACAGACAAGGGCGAATTAAAGTGGATTGTAGATAAAGTGCAAACAGAGCCAGTAACAATATTGATGAGAAAGAGAAATGGAAAGAAAGTCTTACCACCAGGTAAGGGCTTGGAGGAGGAAAAGCAAGTAGATGGATACTCATAGTAACTAATAACTCATACAAGTTTTCTGGAGTACAGGGAAATGAAAGCATGGTTGTATGACTTTCTGTCTCATAGTAATCAGAGGTAATAAACTGGAGTCAATAGAATGGTTGACAGAGGCAAGCTGTACTGACTATAAAATTAAAGAATTTGTTGAACTCCACAACATTCCAGATGCCAAGGCAGTTGTAGGAACCTCAAAGATGGTTAAGTCAGTCTTCTCCCCACTGGAAGAAAAAGAACTTAGTGAAATAGTTCCAAAATGCAATATAATTAACTGGCAACAACAAAGAATATATAAAATCAAAAGCAAAGTTTTTAAATACAGAAAATTCACTTTAGGAGAAATCAGTTTGTCAATGGCTGCTAAATTTCACAGTAATTGTTCTTTGTTGTTTAAAATGTAGTGGTATGTGTGGTAATTTTAGAAAAATTCTAACATCAAATAATAGGTTAACATATTGAAGCTTAAACCTTACCTTATAAGCTAAGTAGAAAATTTGGCTTTCCAAAGTGACCCATTCTCCAAAAACTACAAACAATCATAATTAGACATGTTGCACAGAAAACTCGTACTGGTGTCACTTTGGCAAAACCAATGGCGTTCTGTTTGATGGCCCACACAATATTTTAAGACACTTAATCAGTTGACAAAATATAGAAAACAGATTAACATGCACATTCAAATTCTTCTCCTACTCCTAAAAATTAGAAAATGTACCAATATTGGGTCATTAATTGCACAGGTCAAAACTAATGAGAACTCAGTATTAACTTTCTTTGAGAAGAGGTTTGCACTTGGGGCAGCCATGGTCCCACCATCTTGTTTTCCTCACCCGACCCTCTTTTTATCACCTGCTTGAACAATTCAGTTTTTTGAATTTGTAACTTCAGCTTCACAGTTTCCATAGGAATAGGTATCTACTTGTATATACATCATTGTCAACTTTGCAACAAACTATAAATTACATTAGTTATTATTTTTTTATTATAACAATTTTACAGAGGCAAAAACCAGAGAGAAAAGATACTAAATCATTCTAGATATTTATTCAAGGGATTTTGCGATTGGAAAGTCATTAAAGAACTTCTATTTTTGTCCACAACACTTTTATCTTGTACGGGAAAAAGACGTACCATGAAAAAGAAAAAAACAACTTGTCTTCAATCAAAAAACTAATTCAAGGCAGAAGAAGGCCACCACACAAAACACAGACAATCTTTATACATTATACAACCTCATTTCCTTTTATCATGTGCTTAATCAAACTGTAAAGGTACTTGGAATCTGTAGGACAAAAATCAGGAAGAAACACAATTTCTAATCATAATGACTTCATAGAATTCAAGCAGCTTTTTCAGTATTTTGACCCACAGAATTAGCATAGCATGCGGGAACAACATTTAAATAGTGCAGAGATAGCCCAGCTCAGATCATCCACTGACTGATCCTCTGGTCTTCCATTTGGGAAACAAGGTAATGTTTTCATATATTTTTTCTTGCACACCATGCTCTTGCAAAAGATTATTTCACAACCTATTAGTACTCTTCTACATAATAAGAAACAAAGTGTTTGTGAATGTACCCATGCCAGTATACTACAAATGGTTTGGAGAAATTTTATTTTCGTGATTATAAGATCACGATTATCTTCCTTTTAGTTTTTAAAATAATACAATTAATATGTAAACACTGGAAACTTTACTCTGATATTGTGTCTCATAACATGCTGAGGGTTTATACTGAATGTAGAACCAAGATTAGCAGGTTTCTAGAAATACAGCAAATGCTTACTTTGTGTTTGGTGCCTGTGTTGGGAAAGAATTCAGTTCGGAGTCACAGGGAAGTCAGAGTACAAGGTGAGGAAAGAATTCATTTCATTAAAGCGAGAATAACAGGGAATGGCAGCTGCCTCGCAGGTTGCAGAGGGCAAAGAACAGAGACAAGAAAGACGCAGGAAACGGAAGCTCATTGAACTCCAGCTCAGCATAGGGCAGATCCCTTGCAAACTCCTAAAGCCAGGGTCCCCTGCCACCCAGTGTCCACTTGCATGGCTTGGGAACTAAATCCCGATCACCCCAGAATTTGGGGGAGCCACAGAGCACTGGATGGAGTGAGATTATTCCCGAAAGCAAACAAAGGAGATTTTCAGGCAGCCTGCTAAATGATACAGCTGCAATCCCACAGGGGTCACCCAGAAAACAGGAACCTGCAAGCTCAAATCAGAGCTCTAGGCAGCCCCTCCCTACTTATTTGAAGTAGGACTGAGACAGAGTGAAGACTTGTGCTTAAGTCTGGAGAATGTAATGAAATAGCAAAATAACAAAGACACCACTGAAAGAGTACAGAGACAAAATGTAATAAATTGAGCAGTGACAGGTCTTTATTTAAGGTAAAAATGTACACACTCGAAGAAAGGGGAGTGCGGGCAACCTTAGAAAGGAGACACCCCAAAAGGTTTAGTACTTGGGTTTTTATAGGACTTTTTGGGTAGGAGTCAGCATAAGGTATGATGTATACATGTGATTCATTGTTTCTTTGAAGTTTTGTCTTAAGAATAGGCTTATTTAGGTGATTGTGTTGGTCCCGATCTCAGCATTCTTTATCCACATAGGTTTATTTATAGTTCAGAGGCATATCCTCTGCCCTGGTTACAAAGTTACTTGCTTGAGGAGCTGGAAGAAAAGGAAGAAGAGTATATAGATTAGGGAAAAGATAAACTTGGCCTTTTTCAGCAGGCTAAGTAGATTTTACAATGGCATGAATTCATTGGTACAACTGAAGACATGGGCTATGCTGATACTTTTCTACTTGGGAATATCTGGACGTTCCAAGTTGCTCCTGGCCTTTGAAAGTTCAACTAAATAACTCATTAACTCCATGAGTCCTTTCTGGCTCTCTGATTTTATCTGGTTAACTATTTGAGTACCTTTTAGTGGGTTCCACTGGCCTTATTCTCCTTCCACTCACTTACCTTTCTGCCAAACAGCTGGACCACTTCATTCATCTGGGATTTGGAGATGAGAAAGCTTACACAATATACTTATTCTGAAGATTATAATAATCTTATAAGAAGTCCCACATGTTGTTTGCAATATAGCACTTGCTTAATAACTACAACTATAATTTTAAATTTCCTTTTATAACATGTTTAGTATATGTTTAATTAAAAACTAACAGTTTTACATGGTTCAGTTTATTTCACTTATTGTAAATACTATCTCTAAGAAAAATTGATTAGAACAATTTATATAAAATGTATTTACCTCAGATATTTAATAAAAAGCAATAAAATACACCTTACCATTTTAAACAAAGTTTTGCCATTGTGGAATATGTCTTGTGCATATTATGTGCCTGAAATATTATGTTCATCTCAGAAGAGTAAATTAATAAATCATCAATTACATATTATGATTGTTTAGTGTAAAGTTGAGATTTTTTTATGCAGTAGGATTGGGAAATTATTTTAAAATTATACAATTTAAATTTTAAGACAAATAATGTAATACCCTGTATATATACAACTTCTGTATTCACATAAGTGTAGATCACAAACTTATTTTGATATTGTTGGGGTAAAGGTGAATATTATTCTTTAAAAATAGATTTATGTATGTACACTATAATGAATAGAGTATGTGGAAAACCATAAGTATACTTCAATTTTTACTTATTCACACAATCACAGGGGAAAAAATTGAATTTATAAGTGGTCAAAAACCTTGTGAGTTTGTGCAAAGCGATGGAATTAGAGGTTGATGTGGCTGGACAGGACTTAGAAGTCATGCCATTCATGACACATTTGTTCATGTGTTAAATGAGGCCGGGTGATGTTGAGCGGCTTGTGGAAGCTTCAGCAGCCAGTCCAGGGTCAAGCTGGGGCTAGTAGCACACCTGATACCCAACCTGGTTATTTCCACCAGCTACTTCAACTTAGGAGGCAGGCAGGCTGCACTGTTTCACCAGAAATCTGATTTAAAAGATAGTTCCTGTGGTATTTTGTATTTCTGAGAGCCCATTCTTCACAAAATGCCTTCTGGTGGAGATTAATCCTGTGAACTGACAACTTCTGTGTGAAGTTTTCACATTTTAGCAAGTATGGCTTTAAATCACGTCCTGTTGAACAACAACAATAAAAGTTACTGTTTCAAAATAAACTGAGGGATCCATATTCAAGACATTCTTTAAAGCCTCTCCTTTGACTAATCTTCATTGTCTTTTCTCCATTATCTCTCTAAAGATAATAAGACATATATGAACACCAGAATATGGAACTTTAAGAAGGTAAAATACATTAGTGATTTTCTGTATATGTTTTCACAGGACCAAGTAACCATGAAGGTCTTCATCTTTACCTGCCTTTTGGCTGTTGCTCTGGCAAAGCAAGTAAGCATAACGGGACACATAATTTAAACATGTAAGAGTGAAACTTTTACTACATGCAGAAGATACAGACATGGACAGCAATGAAAAAGAGACTAAGTATGTAACCAAAGGTAGTATCGACCCTATCTTATGCAATCTGTGAAGGTGAACAAACATTTTATGAATGTCTTCAGTGTAGTGTTGGAGAAGCTATCTCCATAGCAGGAAAAACATACGTTCCCCTCCATAGTATGTTGGAATATATGCTGGAAATTTATGGAGGAACTATTCCCACTCCTTTTGTCTTGGGAATTGTCCCACCACTGTAATTCGGTATTCCAAAGTCAGCTGCCAATACAGTGACAGAATTTGGTGATCTGGATAAAAACAGTTGAGACACCTTGATGAAAAACTACAAAACAAGAACATGACAGAGGACAAATTTGTAGGTCTAGATAGGAATGGTAACTTGGTAAATTACTCACCAAATGATACTCATCTCATAAAATAGTGAGAATGTAACTAATTATATGCAAATGCGCTCTTAAACATGTAAGTACACACACACACACACACACACACATTAACCTTCATGTTACAGTAAATATCATTCAATCTTCTGGCATTATTACCGCCCTCGTTCTCAGGAGGGACTCACACACCCACATCCCTCCCAGCCCAGCATCTCCCTCTCCCCTGAGGGCAGTTTTAGTTGTGGTGTCAGAGACTTTGCTATAAAACACATCCTGTTAAGAAGAGACACAAACAGGCATTTTTGCCTTCTTATATTTGTAGCTGATTTAAGAATAAGTCTAAAGTGAGAGTTCTATTTTTAATACAAACAAGTTAGTTAAAAAAACAACATGGCTTCAGTTGTCACTAGGGGGCAGGATCAGTGGTATCTTGTCTTTTAAGTCCCACTAGACACACCATCCCTTTCCTGTCTTTCTATTGAATAGTTGGCCTCAATCTCCATTTTAATAAACAAGGTTACTAAGTAAAAGCAGAGAGATGTGCTGGTAACCAGCAGATCAGGATATTAGCAGTACTTGTGTCACAGATGAACTTCAGGGCAATGTTACATTGCTTATTGATTACATTTGGAAGGAAAATGCATGTTTGAAGGAGACCCTTTACTTCTATATTCCCCTAAAAAATCAATGTTTTTAAAATATCTTTGGCATTAAACAGTAGAGGCAGAGATTCATGTTGATATTGTAAATGAGCCATGTAAGTTAATTTGTGTTTGTTTTTGTTGTTTACACAGGAGATAAAGCGTGTCTCCTCCAGTGAGGTAAGGCCCTTTATTAAGAAGACAGTTCCTGGCACCTACCAGCACATAGTATATCCATAGTGAATCAGTCCCCCTTTGTAATCAGTAACACTAGAGCTACAGAATCATGGTAAATTTGAAGTGCTAAAAATTTGAAGATAGTAAACTGAAATCTATGCTTCCAAATGTATACAGACTAGATATGTACACTTTCCTTAGCTTCACAACCAGTCCTGCAATAATTGTGCCATTAGTACAGTAGTTAGGCGGGGAGTGCTTGTGTATACAATGACAGGAATCCATTTTATCTGCTTCTGCAATGAGGGACTCACGCGCATGTGAATCCATATTAAGTGCTAATTTCCAAATGTTTTCTGCCCACGGGTATGTAACAGTTGCCCAAAGTTCCTTTATTGTCACCCAAAGAAATGTCCTGTTGTTCTGCTATGGATTTCATTTAAAAATCAAAGAGAGAAAGTAAAAAGAAATTGTGCAGAGGACAAATACAATTGCTCCTTCTTGCTTTGCTGTTGGTATTTGCAAAAATGTTGTCATTGAGCTATCACATACGTAAACTGAGAGTGCAAGAAAAACTATTTAAAATATAATTAGTTAATTATGTAGGGAGAATGAAATTTTGGCTCAAATTATTCTGTAATTCAGTCAAAGGCGAAGTATGTTCTGTTGAATTACATCACAGTGAGTGTGGCTTGATATTTCCTTAGGTAGGATGAATAAAAATATCCTAATTACGTAAAAAATGCATTATCAATTTCTTTCCTAAGGAATCTGCCAACATCTCTGAAGAGGTAAGTCATAACTTCCTTCCTGAAATATATTTAAGAATAATGTTTCATTTTTTTATGCCTGTAAAATGAATATTATTTATTTTTTCAGAAATACTGGGAGGACAGTAATGGGGTATTCCAAACGAGTCAGGTAAAATTCATTCATTAGTGTGTCTTTTTGTTTGCTTAATAAGTTATCTTTTCTATCAGTTGTATTACTGTCTTCCCTGTCCATATGAGCATTGTTTTTTCATCTTGAATTGTGAAATGGGCAATGTTTTCATTGTTCAATTGTTGTGAAATTATGTGAAAAGGATTCCAGGAAAACACATGTATGTTCCATTTGTGAACCAAGTTTTCAGAGTCGTTTCTCTGAAAGGAGTACCTATTCATGGCCCATCCTCTTGACTTTCAACACATGATTCTGGACATTTTTGGTTCACCATTGTCTTTTATAAATTTAACTTTATGACAAAAAATTCTATACAGGAATCATGGAATGTACATCTCTCTGGAATCAAGACTTAAATTTGTTCTGAATTGTTTGTTTTCAGGGGCACACTTGCTCCAAATCCCTGTACATATAATATTCTGATTTTGAATCTGATTGTAATACATAGTTTAAAATCATTTTGAGTGAAATTAACACAAGGGAAAAATGTATTCAATATCAAGAATATTTGAAAATCAGGACAAAAACATCTACATGTCATGACTTGATGTCATGACTTCAATTGAAGAATATTTACATGTGTGTGAATCAACTAACCCACTAAATACTTTTCCAATTAGTACCCATAGAGGACAGAGGCCTCCTCATTCTGTGATTTTAATCAGTTAGGCTAATATTTAATATTTTTTTCAAAATTTACTTTTTAAAAGTTAAATACATTTCTTTTTAATAGGAATAGGCTTTCATTTCTACCAAATCTCAGGTTTAATGACTGCATTATACATGTTTTATTATGCAGTAAAATAAGTATTTAGTTTTGAATATTCATTAAAAATTTACCCATATTGCCCCTAAATTGTCCAGTCCATCATTCACTTAAAAACATTCGCTGAGAAAGAACTATGCCCCAGAGGCCGTCCTCGGCTCTGGGACATAACAGTGAATGCACAGACAACATTGCTCCCTCATGGTGCTGACATTTCCAATTACCTCTCTTGGCATATATATTACCAGCTAAGAGATTTTGATTAATTCATACCAACCTGTAAATGAAAATGAATTCATCCTTATGCTTCTCTCTATGAAAGATGTGTATTCTCTTGATATTCAGTAAAATATATTATTAACTATATGTGGGGATAATGTATCTAATTCTTTTTTAATTAGGAAAGAATAAAGAAGACTGGTGAAATGGTGAGACATTGTTAACTATATTTAATTGACATTTTTATATAGAATATTAAGTATTAATGGTAGCCTGTAGAAATGTTTCATATTAAAACACTAAGAAAATATTTTAAATTGCTTAATATTATCATTTCAACCCATGTTTAATAATTTCATCCCCCCCAGATTTTCTGTTATGCTCACACTGGAGATACTACCATTGAAACAGTAGATAATATTTAGCCTTGTTATTGTTAATCCAGTGGTGATTAATAGCAGGTACCTATGAAAACTCATTTTATTGATTTTATTTCAATCCATTTGACAATTAATAGTAACAATGAGGTTGGTAATTGATATGGAGCATATCTGAAGTAACTAGTAATATTCAAGGAATAATACTGAAATTTCAAGTTCTTCCTGCATCAGATGTTTATTACTATATTATTATTTTTCATTTTTTAGGAATCTTCTAAGAGTTCATCTAGTGAGGTAAAATACTCTTTCATTTAAAGTCAAAGAAGTATTTCAAGATCCAGCAGCTTTTCATTGGTATTATACAATAGTGTGATCAACCTTAGCAAATGCACATGTTCAAGAGAAATAATGGAGAAACCTATTTTCATGACTCAAAAACCTTTTTGTTGGCTGAAATTGAGTCTTCCTAAGAAGCGTTATTCATTCGACCCTGCTTTCAATGTGACTCCATTAGAAAATTACAGCCAAATCAAGCCTGTGCCAGGTCAAAAGTTTGCCGATTACCTTCCACAAAGCTTCACTCTGGCAGCCCTCTCTCTGGCATTAGAGGACCCGTGCTCAAAAGATTATCCCCAGATGCGTGCTGTTGGTAACACTGGGAAAACTGTGAGAATTATAAATGCTGAGACCCCACCCCATACCTACTGAATCAGAGTTTGAGCTGGAGCTAAGAATCTGAATTTAGTGAGGCGTCTAGTAATACTGATGCACATAAAATTTTGAGACCCGTTTGTAAGAGGGCTGAGGAAGATTTGGGTTCAGAATGGTGTAGGTAGCCAGTACAGGAAACTCCATCTGTGGTGGGAAAGCCACGACGTGGGAGGAGCGTCCTGGAAGAGCAGGCGGCAGGACAGGGCCTTGCTCCCGCGGTGCCTGGGTTCTTCACACTCAGCGCCTTGGGGAGCTCGCCTGCCCTTCCTCTGCTTGTAATTCTAAGAGCTAAACTGAGAGCAACGGCCTAGTCTGTCATTTTGACACAGAGCCCACAAGGCCTACTTGGCCCACACCCCGCTCCAGATCTGTATTGCTGCTTTGTTCTGCCCACTCTCTGTCAAACCTATGAAATTCTCAAAATCATTGTTGAAATTGATGTCTTTGAAATAAGACACATTTTCAGTCATGTTTTTATGACTAAAAGAGAAGGAGCGTCTTGAAGATAAATATTTTAACCAATTTCATTCTTAATAAATACACTTCATTTCTCAGTGCTCATGGCTTGGATTCTGATACTCAACTTACTGCTCCTAATTTCTATAAATTTTTTTACGGACAAGTAATGTCAGTAAAGCTATTTTTCTACCTGCAGCTTTAGGCAATTGCTGACATCCTCACTGATGTAACTATGGTTCACAAAGTTAATAATCAGGAAATAGTTAGGTTTTTAAAAAGTGTCCCTAACGTGTGCCTTGTTTTTTAACAGAAAATTGAGCTGACTGAGGAAGAACAGGTCTATCTAAAGCAGCTGGTAATTTTTTATACATTTTATTACTGCAAGTAAAAGAATATAGTCAAGAGTCTTCTCCCAAATGATCACTTACCATTTCTTCTCAAAGAAATATTTACCACCACATTTATGATAAAAATTACTTTATACTATTCAGGTTTCTGTCATATGTAAATACTGTTAAGGAAAAAAAGACTTCATTGCTCTCATCCTACACCATAGGAGGTCACGTAAGCCATCTTTTGGGGACCAGAGAAATAGCAATGCCAGGCAAACCAGGTGACTTCTATTCTGACCATGCTCCGAAGGTATTATTTAACCACCCCAACTACATTTTCATCAGCTAAAACTGAAATTAGTAATACTAATTCTGCAGGATTTTGTGAAGACAAGGTTGGACAATATAGCAACTACATAGTAGAATACTGAAGTACATAAAATGCACCAAAAGATAGCAGTTTTTATTAATTTATACACATAGGAAAAAGCAGTACTAAATCCTTTATAACAGGAACAGCTTCATACTGAGCTACCATTTTATCTATAGAAAGTTCTGATTGCTCGAATAGTCCTTCTAAATACTTCTAATAACATTCTTCTTGGTACCATTCTTATCATAAACATGTGTCCATCCAACACTTATTCCAGGCAAATCTAAAGACACATCGACTCTCTACACACCTGTTTTCTTGGCATCTACTTGAACCGAACATTTTCCAAGATTTAAGATGCTGTTTTAAGAGCACCTATGGTCAAGTATCCATAGCCAAATCAAAGTAGGAACTTACTAGAATATTTATTCAGAAGGACATAGTTTTGGGTCCTATACAAACACCACTCCATATACATCAATTCATATGACACTGCAGTGCACCTGATGTGTCTGAGAGTCAAGCAGCCAGCCCAGGGCCATGGGTATAGAAGCTGAGTTGGCCCCACTCCAATCCCAGGTGTTCTCAACCACTGGAAAAAAAGAAATTACAAATAAGACAGTGTTCTTGGTAATCTACCATGCCCCTTTTTACACATTCTCTTACTTTTTCCATCAGGTGTTTTCATCTGGAAAGTTTAATTAATCAAATGAGGTTTTCCATTCTGAAGCTTGTCTACATATGTGAACACTGTTATTTTGAACTTTAGGTTAAAAACTCCTTTTCTTTGTGAATTTAGCATCATTTAGATTTTTCTCTAAATAAAGTTTTAATTCATTTGGTTGGTCCAGGTATGCTCTGGCCCTTATAGAAGATGCAATTCTGGTATAAATACTAATATATTTATTTCCTTCCAGTACAAAATGAACCAGTTTTACCAGGACTTGAGTTCTCCCCAATATCTTCACAGTTATAATCTGCGTCAGAAAGTTAGGTACCCCTGGAATCACATTAAGACAAATGAATATCATCTGCTTCCCCTTCAGGTAAGTTCTGCTTTTTTGTTTGTATCTTCTTTACTTTCTTTTGAAAGAAAATATCATTGGATAAACCAGAGGGAAAAAAATGTTTCAGTCATTTCGAATATATAAAACAAATTAAATACAATTTTCTAGGACTGAAATTAAGTCAATACTCCTATAGTCAAAATAGTATAAAAATAGCACTATTAACACTGATCATAAGTAAGGTTAAGTTGAGCTGTGTAAGCAAATATATATCATTTTACTTGATTGTGACAGCAGTCCTTGAGGAAGACAGGGGGTGGACACTATCATCTCCATTTTACAAAAACCCTGACCTTTAAAAAAATGAAACCACTTGCCAACAATGTAGTTAATATCTCCACTTTGTTTTTGGCTTACAAGACATTTTCAAACATGAACAGGAAGCGGCAAAGCAGGAAACTGAACAGAGGAAGCAGGCACTGAATTGTAAACAGTAAGAGCTGTGGAGTCAATACTCCCAGAATTGAGCTATAAATACAATTCAGGAGAAGAGAAGAAAGATGTTTCAATGATTAATCTTACACATGGAAGAAGAGTCCCTTGTTCCTTAGATTCTATTTGTCTTAACAACCTTGTCCCTTATCTTTTTTTGTAACTTCAATTCTTTAATAAAACGTTTTGCTCAGGTAACAGTAAGTGTCAGTCACTAATAGGTGACTAATATACCAGTGCTCTTACCACAGTTGGTGTTATTTCTATTGTTATGTCAGTTATTTTTACCAAGGAAAAGCTTTAATTTTCAAACTCCTATCAACAGAAAATAATTTGCCCAATATTTTTTTAGTATTTATCATAAAATTAAGTATACCTTTCCTTACCTGGGAAAAATACAGTCCTGTTAAAATATTGTAGTATTTCTTAACACATTCCTACAGATAGTAGTCTGAATACTAAAATGTAGTAACTTGAATATGTACAATTCATCATTTAAGCCAGCTCCTAAAAATAATAAATATATTGTTAGAATATTAATTTATTTTAAACACTGAATCATTTGTGTATTGCTACTTTAGGAAACCACAGCAATTTGGCCAAGAAAGCCCAATTCATCTTAGTTCTCTCTAGAAAGGAAACAATGCCCTACATGGTCATTTATCTAGGCTATAAAAGTGAAGTTTATTTTCTTGTTTTGATGTAGGGAAAAGAGTACCACTCCTCCAGCGAGGTGAGTAAGGGGATTTCCTGTGATGACAAGACTGTGATGTCCAGATACAGATACTAAGTTCTGTCAATACTGTCTTTTATCTAAATTTTTATATTTCATGTATAAAGTGAGTTATACAATTAGAGAAAATAAAAATAACAAGTGTGGCAATGATAAGAAACATTCAGGTGAGCAGCCTAAAACTGTACACACTCAGTTAGCAAGGTCAGGTATGTTCAAATTTGTTCAGATTTGTACCTTAGCAAAACATTCAATACCATTTCCTTCGCTAGAGGTCACTGAATAATCATATTACCTACTGTCCATCCTCAATTTTATGAAGTGGATGAGAGGAATCCCACCTGGAGAAAGGACTCCAGTTCATACATTAAGTTCTAATTTCCAAATATATTCTGGGCCACATTGCATACCTAACCCTAAAGACACCCTAAATATCATGAAATGATTTACCTAGATTTGTTCCTTTGTGTTTATTTAATTTGTGAAAATAATGAAATGGTGGGAAAATAATATTTCAGTGGATAAGTAATCAAGATGCATTCTTTCCTTATTTTTCTCAGGAATCTACCAGAATCTCCCAGGAAGTAAGTCACAACTAACAAAATTAAATCAAATGTAAAAGTTATTTTTTATTTCAAAATGGTTATACAATACATGTTATTTATCATGTAAATAAATGCAGGGCTCAGCCCATGCCCTAAGTTCATCATTCTCATGAGGAATGGAGGTCTTATCATTTAGTGGTTTCAATTTTCATAAAATCCTTGAAAATTAAATTTGTTATGATATTTGCTTATTTAACCAAATGGTCGGTCACCAAGTATTTTTCCTGAAGTTTACTCTAAAACATTTTACATAAAACTACCAAAATGCAGACTTGAAAACATACCTTTACACAGACAACCAATGATGTGACTTGCAGTAAACACCATATATAAAATGCTTCTTAATCTACTAATTTAAATATTTCTTTACTTAAGAAATGTGTATTTATCTCATACTATGTTCCTTAAATGAATCCAGAAATTTGTTTACAACAATGGATAAAAGTAAATTCCACTCCCTGTGGAGGTTATATACCCATAAAACAAGCAATGTGTGCTTCCACAGTTTGGGAACTTACATACAATCCAAACAGAGGAAATGAACCCATTCTCTTCTCTTTATTGAAGATGGGTTTTCTTGCTATATCCAATAAGAAATTCTGTAAAATTCATAAAATGATAACATGTTTGTTCTTTTCTTTCTGTGAGAAAACCTCAAAGAATATGGTTGATACATAAGGTATTTTTATTTCTATACAGAAACATTCAGTATAAATGTTCATGAGAAGAGGTTTAGTGGCATGTCAGCAAATTTCTTCTATCACAAACCAGATCATTTTATTGCATGGAAGTGCAATTTTTATTTGACACATGGGTGTTTTCCTTTAATTGTTCTTAATTCCCTCATTTAAGATTATTTCCTTTTATATTGAATTATTTTGTCTAAGTTTTACACTGGTTTTAAAAATAGCACTGACTTTACAACTTTTTGAAAGGATTCTCTCTACTCCCCTCATTTTTGCCTGCTATATTAATGTTCATGGGGGTACATGTAAATCTTTTTCATACCCAAGCCATTAAGACATGGTATTGCTGCAGATTCACTCCTCCTGGTAGTTAGATTTAGATTCTTTTTTCTCAATGTTTTAATTTCTTAAGTAAATTTTTAGCAGCTAGTCTAATGAGATGAGTGACACTTTCATTTAAAGTCAAAGAAACAACTGAATAGCAGATATTTTCACTGTGGTATTACTTATAGCAAATTAGAAGCTACTAATTTTTTAACAAAGTTGCCTCAAAATAAACAACAGAAATAAAAGAAAAACTGTGTAATAAGTACACTAAACTCAGAGTTATTTTGGATATGACATTAACTATCACTTAGCCAACATTAACTACACTTTTTCCATATCCTTGGTAATGCATATATTTTTCTGATTCTTTGGATAATTTTTTCAAATAGTCACATATGTAATCAGGAGCCTATGATTTCCCTATAGTTCTCCTCTCCCAGTATTAACTGGGGGGTTGAATACGAGAGTGAGTTATGAAAGTTGTGCAGGTGACTGGTGCAGCTGTTGTGACACAAAGAGCTAGCGGGGTGACACAGAGGCAAAGGGGCCTTGGAGGCAGTGCAGCGTGTATGGCGGCCTGAGGTGCAGATGGAGCTGGCCCTCAGCAGTGCCCTAGCAAACATGCTCACCTTTTCTCTCAAGGTTGTGTCAGTCTCCAGCTGTACCTAGTCCACCTGCAGAGGCGACACACAGGCTTTCTTAGGCTTCACACCTCACCAGGCCCATGTGATCACTGTGTTCCATGCCTACTCTGTGTGGTCCTTTTTCATGATTTTATATATGTGGAAGGAGATGCACTAATAAAACTTTCCTTCAGCAGTGTGTTAGTATGTTCACACCGAGTGTGAGCTCTGATATGAATATTTTACTGCATCCATTCTTAAGCGAATCCTACATTCAGTCATTAGGACTGTATTTCTCACTAGTAGCGCACTGGCTCGGCATTATTCATTAGCCTCAGCTATTACCTCTGACCCGTAGGATGCAACCACTTTTGTGTCATCCCAGTGAGGCTGGTTTTATTTTCTTTTCCTTAGGAATCCACTCAAGTAGTCCCAGAGGTAAGTCATACTCGCTAAAATGAAATGCCATTAGTATTATCCCAAAGTGCTTTCTTGTGTGTTCTTTTAACTGTTGCTTTTGGTTTCTAACAGAAAACTGAGCTGACTGATGAAGAAAAGACTTACCTGAAACAGCTGGTAATTTTTTAATAGACTTTTAATTCACAGAAATGAATAATCACTTTTCTTCCTGCAAAACCATCCCTTCTAATTCAATTCCAAGTAAAATTTTAAAATTACATTCAAAGTAAGACCTGTTTATGTTATTGTTGTGGCAGTTACAACCACTGTCTTTCTCTTTATATATATATGTATATATATGGATCTATCTTTTAAGAAAAATGAATTTGAGCATTTATGAGATTGATTTGGAAACAGTTGTAGATCACAGACAATGTGTTTTGTTTGTTTGTTTGTTTTCAGATGACCTGGTCAGTATCCACAGAGTGCAACTGCACTCCAGCTTCTCTTAGACAGCATATCATGTTCTGACTTCTCAAAATTAGCCTTTAGTGACTATTTTCAAACAGCAGTAGTCCTTATTCGCAATCTCTGTGGACAGACACATGTATCTCAGTAAAAGAGCACAGGCTTTGAAGGCAGGAATTTTTTATTCCAACTCCAGCTGCACCACTTTTTATGTCTGTGATATTGCTTAAGTACTGAACCCCTGTCAGTTACCATACCTTCTACCAAAAAGTGAACAGAGCAGTACACTGCACACTCCCCAAGAAATTTGTGAGGGTGCTTCAGGTATATAAGGAAACTATATAATAGACAACTAGGGATACAATTAATGCACTAGTTGTACTAGGTACACTTCCTAGCATCCTCTACACAATGTAGAAATTTCTTCTACAACTTTTATAACCAAGAATGATTTGCTTTAATGCTCACCACCCATAATCCTGTGACCTGAAAGCCATAGGTTTTAGTTCTAATCGCTGTGAAGGCTTTCTTTATATTTAGTCAAAACGTTCCAGCAGCATTGGCCAGTGCTGCAAGTGGATGTCACAGCCATGAATCCACTCTACACTTGTACACTAGCAGTTAAGAAAATAGCTTTGCATTATGAGAGTGGGAATTATTCTGTGGGAAATTGTCATTTTCATTCAAACTTTTTTCCATGCAATAATCTATGATAAGGCTTATGAAGAAGACATAAAGAAAGAATTTGGAGGGAAGGAGTGTTCTTTGTACATAAAATAGGTGACTGACAGTACACAAAATGCTCTCTTTATATTAATTCACAGTCCTGCATGTAAGTGATGCTCAGGGAGATTAAGCAACTGGTTCAGAGTCAGAGATTCCAGTGATTAAATCATGAAAAATGAGGCTAAGGCCATTTGACTCTAAAGACCAGAAAGGAAAAGGAAATGGTAAACTGAGGTATTCAGTAATGCAAAAAATCTTCTCTTCTTGCCTTTTTACTATAAATTTTCTCTTTCCTCTCAGACAGTTTTGTGTCAGTGATTAAATTAGCTACAGGATTTCTTCAATCTGTAGTTCATTCTATATGGAAAAATATGTACAGTGATTTATATATTAGAAAATGCTGCTTTTGTTGGGTCTGCTTGTAATAATTTAGAAATTCTCTTATAATTCATTTGGTTCTGTCTAGTTCCCTTTTGAACCTTGGAGAATATTAAATGAGGGGTAATTGTTAATAATTTTACTTCTTTTTAGGTGAAAATCAACCAGTTTTATCAGAAGTCCACCTTCCCCCAGTATCCCCAGGCTCTTCATCCACAGCAGGTAGCTGTGAATGGCGTTCAGGAAAACACCTACCCGATTATTCCAAGTTTGGTAATTTTATTTTTTTAAATAGCAAAAGTATCATTGTCTTTTATGAGAAAGGACATGTAAAGGTACTATATAAGGAAAAGCAACCCAAGATCTCAGATATAAAATCAAATGTAAATTAAATTCCGCAGTTGGTAATCGAAGTGAAAAAGTAAAAACGTATGTTTCGAATTTAACAATATAAAATCATAATAGTGAAAAAATTTCATTTAACCTGGATTTTAATTTCCAAAACATTTGGGTATGTATTTTGCTAGACTCCTACAGTAATTTACAGAGATAGAAAGCTATAGATAATAGTAATTTATTTTACAAAAAGTCTGAAATATAAATGAGTACAATTTCTACCCTTTCAGATTTCCCAAGCTACATATTAGCCTACCTCATTTAATGAGTCATTTCATTGAAGGAGCTCTTTTTTTTTTTTTTAGCATGAGTAGTAATAGCAGAGCAAGAAACAGAATCCAGAAGACTAACATTTATTATAAACATTAGTGGTTTAGCCTCAGAACTGTTGTGATCCTAGATCTGACAGTTCTCTGGATTATATTTTTAAGTTTGATGTTACCCAAGTAATCGAGTTTCCTAGACAGGCATGTAGCATTTGAGAGCCTTGTCACTGTAGAGAAGGCAACTTCATAACTTATGTTTGAATGTTAGAAGCTGAAAAAATCCTACATATTTTAAGTAAAATGCAATCATTCTCTTTTAATTAAAATGCATTAACATTAATTTTTTTTCAGAGAATCATTTAAGAGTTTTGAAATAACCTCTGGTATTTGAATTTAGGTAAATGCTTATAAAACTAGACATTGAGCAATAATTTAAATAGGATCTTCAGTTAAGAGTAAAGCATCAGTGGAAAATCTTTAAATAACTTCCTTAAATTTTATTTAAATTATGGTTTGGCTCATAAAATATTTAAATTTGTGCTATAAACATTGTGATCCATGAATGAGTTATCTCTTTAATATCTACAGACATGCTTTTTGTACCTTTTTTTCCTAAATAGAAAATTTCTACTCAGGACAAGGATACAATCAGGCAGAAAAAAATGGCTCTAAGTAAAAATCTTCACACACAAATAGCCACACTAGTCATTCAAAAGTTCTTGTTTCATGTTTAGCTTGGGTAGGAAGCTCAGATTCATCATTTCTGCTGGGGTGCAGAGGTATATTTTTTTAGGCTTGTCGTTATTATTTGAGCTGTTTTATGACAAATATTCTTGCAGCAATTCCTCTAGAAATACTCATTGATACTACTTTCCTTTTGAAATAGATAAGGCCTAGTTTCCTACTTGTGGTTACTGTCCCTCCCTTGGAGATGTCAACCAAGGTTATATTTGCCTCCATAACAGAGTGAGAGTCATGACAGAGACCCAAGTCAACTGTGAGCCACTGTGAAGGTGCTCTGGACAGTCCCCTCTTTTGTCCCTGTGATGCAAACTCTTGGATCTACTTTCTTAAGCTACATCTCCAAATTTAAATTGTTGGTCCAATCCTACGTGCCTGTGAGGTAAAGTAATGAGTACAAAGAGTCAGCATGACAAAGTATACAACAGTGAACCCAGTAACAATAGCTGCTATGTACTGAGTGCTTCCAATGTGTCAGCCCCAGCTCTAAGCCCTTTGACAGAATTAACTGGTTTCATGCTCACCGAGACCTGTGAGGCTAACACTAGCCACCATGATGGTACAAGCCACCATGAGGTTGAAGGAAATACCCAGGATCACAGTGCATGTATTTAGTGGAAGAGGCAGGATTCTACCCCAGATGCTCAACACTAGAGCCCTTCCTCTGAAACACTTCACTCCTGAGGCCACATTGCACACATATGCCACTGGACACTAGTTGAAGGGAGTGATTTTTACCTTTTAATGGTATTGGCCCCACAGCTTGATTCTCTTCTTTAGTTTTGTCCTCCTGATGGTGGAAGGGTTCAGGCAACTTTTCCAAATCAATGTATGTGAGAAAAGTAATAACATGATTGATGTGGATAAGAGCTGGGCTGCACTTGGGTTTTTTGAAATTTGGGGATTACTTATTATGTGTCAGTAAATGACAAATTTGATAGATAGTAATGAAATACTGACTCCAATATCCCTAAACTTCAGTTTTTAGAAGGAGAAACAAATTTTAAGAAAGTATACTTAGTGCCAAATTAGAATTATCACCATGATATGGTGGTAGTTGAAATGGCAAATTTATAGCTTGCATTAAGGACTGAACTTTGACCTTTAGGGAACTCAGAAATAGACACGGTAAGAAATGCCAGAAGGATGTGCACTGGAAGAAGTTAATTTACTTAATGGAATGTTTACAAAATAAACCTACAATTAAATGGTGTTTAACAAATTGAATTGGGATGGATTTATTCATGAAGAGAGTTTTAAAATTTTATGGAAAGACATTTTGCTAAATATGACTATTTGACAAACCTACAGTCTAACCAAAACAAGAAATAGTCATTAAAAGAAGTAACAGTTGGATAAAATGCCCCATAAATACTTGGAAATTAAAAATAAAGAAAATGTCCCTTTCAGATTTGCTGAAAAATATAAACATTTCTCATTTAAGGGAGGCATTTAATAGAAACATTGCAGGATCTGGATATTAACTATCAACTATTTCATCATTTGTATAACAAATACTTAGGCCCAATTATGTTCCCACTAGACAAATATTAGTAATAAATATAACTAGCTATATTTCTGCTACACAGAATGTATAGTTACACATCTATACTTCAAACATAAGGGGCAGTTCAACTTGCTAAGAGATGAATCATGCACTTAATATATATACACATGTTTTACAGATATACTCTGGAATATAGACTTACATTTAATCAAGTATTTTCTTTGTATTTACAGATTTGAGTGGAAAAATCATTTCTACATAGGTTTCTAACCTACCATAGAACGTCACATTAAATACATTTTGACATGCTTGCTGAAAAGGCAACAATAAGAAGCCAAAAGGAGATTGTGAGGGACATTTTCTGTATCGTTTGAACTCTTCCTTTCAGATCATGCTGGATATACCAGATCTGGACTGTGCTATCATATTCACCATCTTAATGATTAACTGAAGTCTTTTCAGCACTTTTTCTGAGATATAAAACCACAGATCTTTTGCCAAAACATTAAAATTTGAAAAGCATCTTAGCTGTATGGCCTTTTTTTCTGCTCATCACACACAAAACAGGTCACTGTCACTACAATAACCAGTTCTATAACGATTACCGTCAGTCCAGTATGGACAGCATGGAAGTAACTGAGTACACTAAGGGCCCTTAATCTCAGGAGTGCCCCTTACACCTGATATATGTGATGCTACAAGCTTGTAGGACCAACTACAGCTGTGTTCTCTGCGTGATTTAGTCCTCCGTCTAACATCCCGCCAATCCGTTTGTGCTCCCTTCTGTTCCCGCCAGACAGCTTTCACCAAGACGCTCCAGTCCCCAGTCACATGCCCTGCTCGCCCAGATGGGAATCCACCAGAAGAGTGAGGCAGGCACTGAGAACTTAAACCTGCTGAGACTTTCTGTCAGCCATTGAGACTTTTTTCAACAAACACTGTGCACGTAGGACATGCCAAACTTCTTTTCCAGATAGGGTTGAACAGCAGAAAACAAAGCAAAGATGTAGGCTGCATAGTGCTCACATTCGAATCATAGGGGCAAGAAGAGGAACAATACAGGCTATGCCAGGTGGTGATACCTGCACTGCGGAAGCAGAAGGCAGAGTAATGGGAGAATGTTTCAGGTAGGGTGGTCAGGAAGGGCCCTTGCGGCAGGCTGAAGCTTCACCAGCGAGGTGGAAAGAGTGTGAGAGTCAGCCGGGGGAGCACAGCTCCAGCAGTAGAGGCAGTGAGAGCAAGTTCCCTGAGGAGGCTGCCTGCAGAGCGGAGAGAAAACACCAAAGAGCTGAGCATGGCAAGAAAACCACGGGATGGAAACTTTCAAGGAGTCCTTCAGGGTGGGGTGAATACAACAGCATGGCCAGGCAGTGGGTCTTAAGCAATTGATTGGAGGTGGAAAGTCATCTTAGAGTCATTATGTCATGAATAATCAGAGGGTGAGGGAGTAAATGTCTTGACAACATGTACTTAACCAACCAAAAGGCAATAAATTAAGGAATGAATTTTGATAGAGACATCTAAGGAGTTATTTTTCTGTCACATGTAAATATGTCATGACATAGCCTCACTTGAAAGATACTGGTTCACCAAAACCCAAATTTGACTATAATAAATTCCACTTGTAGGGGCAGTTCAACTTGCTAAGAGATGAATAATAAAGTTTGGATTAGGCATATGTTTTGTTTAGGATGTATTTTTCAAATCAGATTTAGTGGGACATTGAATTTTGGCAGGAGTTACATTTATTTTACGGTTATAAAGTATTAAGAGAACAAGAAATCACAAAATGTGATTAAATTATGTAAGACAGAGTCAAAATAAGTAATAAGACTCCAATTTTATTTTGATATTTATCTCCGCATCTGAGAAAACAGGTCAACAAACTGTCGGTTTTCCATTTGAAACAAGGATTTCCTCTTGGACATGAGGTTTTTAAAATGGAAAAGAAAATATTTCTGTAGAAATGCACATGGCATTTCAATTCATTTCTATGTTTTTTTTTCTACTATTGATTTCCTTGTTGGCCTCCTTTGTGGAAAATACTGAGACCATTAGACCATCACCCTCCCATGCAGAGCCCTCTACAAGTCAGTCCAAAGGTGCACATTCGCTCTTTCTCCATTCTGAGACGTCCCGACGCACAGCCTATCCTCTACATGAAAGCAATCCTCTTTAGTCTCCCTACAAAATCCCTCTCTTAATAAGAATAATAGTGGTAAAAATGGGAACGGCAGCTATAAATCCCAAACTGCACTGACTGATTTACTGTGCAGTGTGATTTAGATACATTTTTCACAATTTATTTTCTCAAAACTATTACTCTCACATTTTGCAAATGAGAAACCACACCTGAAAAAGACTAAGTAGCACATCCCAAAGGTCTCTGTTTTTCTATGCCATGCCATTTTGTTTTTGTTCTTGGTAATTATCCCTATAAATCCCTTCATGTGGTTACCGCTTCCAGGTATATCGCATGGACTTCTCTCCTTTCTTTCATAAATTACACTATTATTCTCTAAATCGATGACCTCACTGTTCTTCCTGTCTGCATTTTTCCTAAAGCATCTTGCCCATATGAATTACTCTCTCTATCCTATGATTCCCAAATACACACAGCTGTCTCCTGGACTTGTCTGTATATCTGTTTGTCTCCCAGATTAACATGTAAACACCTTGAGGACAGTGTCAGCATCTTCTCCCTAGAGTCCCCTGCAGTCAAAACTACAGCATACAACTAGTTGCACCCAAATACTGTTTCAAATTTTTCATCTCGTATTTCAACGTTGCTGTAAGATGAAACAGTATTAAGTGTACATCTCAGCTCTGTGAGGCCTTAAAAAATGAACTTTGATAACCTGTCAAGAACTCCTCAGCTTTGGGTTTCTCTCATGAGTATGGATGGATAGTTAAAGATCATCCTGTCCTTGGGAGAGTTTTAAAAACATAAAACAGGAAAGCACATTATAAAAGTTGGCTATGAGTTGTATCCTTGGGGCACCACGCTTACGAGATGTCAGTATCTCTTTGTTGAGATGTGTTTTAAAGGAAATACTCTGACATTTCCAAGGACACAACATTTTGTTGTAGGAAAATGAATCATCTCCTCTTCATTTAAAGATAGCAATTCAGGTTCTGATCTATCAGTTTTCCAAGGTGATCACCTTGTCATGGAATATATGACTGCAGGTGGACTAAGGCCACCCCTGTGCTTAGAGTTGGCAGCTGTTCTTTCTGAATATCATACGTATTCCACATGCATCTATCCTATTGACTATAACTTGAATATATCTTGGCAAATACAGAACACTATAAATTTGTGTTCTGACCTAAAATGCGAGGTATATTAAGTTTTGATATGGTCTATAAACATCTCATTTACATTAAAATAGTATCATTTGTGTTTAATTCTACTCCCCTTATATTCACTTTAGCCACAAAGAGCTTTTATTTACTCAATAATGTGACCTGAGTGCCAGTAAGAGTGATCAATACCAGTCATTTGAAAGAACAGGGTGAGAAATACAAGAAGGAATGAGGAAGGATAGAATATAGAAAATTAGGAAGAAAAATTGGAACCTGAAAGAATATAAACAAAGTTGTAGAAATGAACCTTGAACACAACTTACCAATGCATACTTTATAGTCATACCAGTCCAGTAGTTATTATGAGCAACACAGTTATTTAGTTTAAATAGCAAAACACTTAAAAATCAAATACCAAAATAATTCATTTGAATTATCTAACTTCCTCAGTCGGATATATGTACTAACTCTTTTATGATCTCAAGAAAAGGGATAATATTCAAACAGGGGGATAAATTGCTCATCTATTATTTTTAGTACCTACAAGCTCAGTAATTGCCAGAAAGTTTCATTTAAATTGTAATTTCTTATTGTTTCATGTCGTGGTCACTTCAGAATTTGTCCATATGTTATCATTTGAATAGCATAAATGGTCTCTTTGCAAAATTAATTATTGGTCTAAACTTTTAATGAAATAACACTATGCAGTGATAACCATAGATTCTAAGCAATAATTGAAATAGAAGTTAAAGTCAAATTTCTCTGGAGATACAGGAATATTTATATCCTATAGGAAATATAGGAAAATCTATTTATCCAAGGGAATTTACATGAAAACTCAAGTGTTTCTCCCAGGGAAACTCATTTAAGGGAAAAGCACATTTCAAAATCACTGACCATGAGAAAATTAAAACCTAAAATTGCTAATATGTTAACATTTGGTATAAAATTATACTCTCATAATAGAAATATACACCCTGAATTTCACCAGTTTCTCATGCATTCCTGCCATCTAACTGGGTACTCACTACATGCCATGCAAAGTGGGAGAGATAATAGATACAAAAATGATATACATTCCTTGCCCTCAGGGAGCTTATTACCAGAAAAGAGAAATGCACAGCATTTTCAACCAGCACAGAGAAGACCTAAGGGGCCAGAGACTCTGCAGAACTAAGTCTTGCAAGATGATTAGAAATGGTAGTATGACATTTTAAGGCAGAAATCTATAAAATGTAGAGGTCAATAAGAAGCATTCTGGAGGAGAAAGAATAGCATCAGTTCTATTTTTGAGGAATTCAGTTTTAAAGCAAATTTTAAAGAAAGTTAGCTTTTAGTTGTCTAAAGCTACTTTGCTAACAAAATTGAGTAAATCTAGATCGCCTTTATAGCCACCTATTCTAGTTGTGGGAAGCAATAGCATCTTCTGACACATATTAAACTACTAGTCAAACAAGATTAACAAGTTTCCATTTACTTTTTCACTGGAAGGGAAAATATAAAGTTTTTTATGTAATATACTGTAAAATCTGTATGATAACTCATTTATTCAGATACTTAACAAATACTTAATTGTCTATTCAGATACTAATGGTAGTAGATTTTACAGTATATACATTCAATTTTATATATATATATAAATTTAACTATTGATAACTAAATTTACCTTATTTATATAGAAGTTTAGTTATCAATAATGAAAATTGTTCACAATGTTTATTCTGCACCAGGCCAGAATGTATAAGAACTTACAGGATAATATATTTTAGAGATAATCTGAATTTTTTAAATATGTTTGATTTAGAAATGCCAATTTCTACTTGTGCTTTTTCATCTGTCATATCACACCTCACCGCCACCATGTTGGGCTGCATTATCCAAAGGACAACACAGAAGAAAGAAAGGCCAAGGCCGTGCAGTCTTTATGTTTTGTAACAGTTGCCTCCCTACTGATGTTTGATGAGATGATTTCAATTTCTAACTATTAAGCTTCTTCCACCACTGCTTCTAAGTAAACAAATGCCTTTTTTCTTTCAAAGGGAAATAAATAAGAGGCACAATCTGATGTGTATAGTCTAGTTCCACTTTTCACACTGACCGACTAAGCTGACATAACCATTTCTTTAATCGCTTCCTTTACACAGTTTGGGTAGTATTGAAACGCTTTCTGTGAGAGTTC